ATATACATATTTATTTAATATTAACAATTCAGATTAAATTTTCATGTGTGGATTATACTATATGGTTCAATATATTAACTTTGATAGCGTGTGAACTCGGTATCGATGATCAAAAGCAAAGAATATTTCACTAGAGCTTTAACTATTTAGGCAATGGTATTGTCTTATCATTATTATCATTGTACTATCTTCTTTTTAATATAGTATGTTATCACAAATCTTTAATTTCACCCTGAATACATCTGCTCAGAAATATTTCGTTCAGGCTTCTTATGGCAGGATATTATCACAATTCACAATATTATACGTTTCAGTTTAATCTCTGATCCATATATTATACCTCCCATGGTTATTTGCGCTCTTTTATATTCATATTTATTTGTTTTGTTTTTTTCTCATGCTTTCATAAATGTTTGAAATTAATGAAGTTGTGAATCGTAATTTTACTGTGCTGTTAAAAATGACGCCAAATGAAAATAATGATTCAAGCAATTACAACTTTAAAAAATTAGAAAAGAGATATATGATTACAGTTTGGGTTAATATATTACCAATAAAACATATGAGTCTGTAAGAAATAGCTAAACGAATCTCAAATTTTATATCGTATATGTATAAAAAAGTGATAAATGAAATGTCTGGTAAGAAAAGTAATAATGTAATACTTTAGTTTTACAAAGGAAAACACACGCACACACGCACACAATACTTTAGGAATGATAAACAATTTAATAGTGATCTATTTTGTGCGGGAATTTGAGGACGTACTCGTGCGATTTACGAAATTCAATTTAGTTCCGATTATGCTGAGGATCGCAGCGATACGATATTGAGCAAAGCGAAACATACCTCATACACTCAATGGAATTCGTTAGCCAAAATCGAAACAGTTGACAGTTACAGTTACAACGCTTTTGAGGAATTGACGCGTTTTGCGATTCAGTTTGGCGAGCGGGCAGGCTTATGTGTAGTAGTTCCCAACAGGAGACGGGAGATAAGGATAACCTGGCAGCGCGCGAGTCATTGAAAAACTAATTTTGTCGCTGCCTCGAACAAGTATAAATATGAATGTCGCTGAGGGTTCCCAAGCAGGACACACACACATAGATATACACGTCTGTGTTTGCTTAGAAATAGAACTTGGGAACAGCAGCAACCTTAACGGTAAAAGCCAAAAGGAAAAGCAAAACGCGAACCGCTTATATATTGCTACGTTCGCAGCGGCAGAGCAAAGTAAGTCAAACGTCTTCGTGGCCCAGGTTCCGTGCCATCTTCGTCACATGGCGCAACGTCTTCGTGGCGAGCGCCAGCGTCAACGTCGACGCCGGCGCCAGCGCCAGCGCCAGCGCTGAGTTCCTTTGTTCATTCGCGTTCTCTCTTAAGGTTTACTCTTGCGAGCCGGCTACTGGCCCAGTCTGCCTCTGGCTCTGCTTTTGACTCTTACGGCCTTCTTACTGAGCAGTAGCAGCAGAAGCAGTAGCTACGACATTAATGGGAGTAACGAAGAGACCCAAGGAGGCGGTGACAGTAAATGCAGCTCCTAAATACGACTGGAACACACTCACATTTAACTAAATGAGCTAGAGCTCGACTGCATGTTAGCTATATTCTCTGCTTGAGTTAACATTGCTCTGTGATCTCCGGGATAACACGCCCTGTTAAAAAGTCCCACACTATGTAGTTAGGAGAGTTCTATAACTCAGCTCTTTACTCGTTTACAATGCGGCTTTAACTAGTGTTTGTGTAGAGAAATACGGTAAAAATGGGCTACAAATGTCCTTATCCCCTTTAATTTGTATTATATTATTTCGACTCTTTATTTATTYATATATGATATTAATAATAAGAATGGCAAAAATGTATTCCAAAATTAAATGCATGGCACTCACCTTGGAATTGTAAGCATTCCTAAAACTTGGCTATCTGGATAATTTCTTCGTAAATGGGAACTGAATGACAATATATGTGTGTCTATATTGAGGTTTATGTTATATATACTTCAGATACTACAATTGTTATGGTTTATTGAAACTAATTTGAACTTAAGGCCAGAATATAAGGCACACGTTGCTTATCGCGATATCGTAATTTCATATTTTGTTCGCTTCTTTTTTTTTGTTTTTTTTTTTGTTTTTTTGTTTTTTTTTTTTTTAATATAATTTGTCTTAAACTGGTACTTGTATGAATTTTTTATCGTTTATTTTCGATTGTTTTCTTTTTAATTTTAATTTTAATTTATGATCACAATTTGTTCTTTATTTACGTTTTTGCATAGGCCAAAATATCACCCGAAATATTTTGATTTTTTCGGTTTCGTGTCTCTTGATCTCTCGCTCAAATTTGTTCAAAATTTATATATAAATGTTTACACGTTTACTTTAGTACAATTTTTCTTAGTTTATGTACTTAGTTCTTATAGGGCTATATTTTTATTTTGGTATTGCATCCTTTATGTAATCTTAACTTTTTAATTTAGAGTACTTGTATTATGTTAATTTTATTATTATTATTATTTCTTTTGAGCTTATTTTTTATTTTAATTTTGGTTTATATATGTAGTATAATATATCTAGTCTAAATAGTCTGTATTTGTCTGGGTGTGTGAGTCAATGCTATAGCTATAGATGCTAGCTATAAGGTAAGTGGTATTTAAAACTGTTTGTGCCGGTGTCAGTGTGTTTTCGATTTGCATAGAATGGAATTATTTTGATGCTAATCGTTCGACTGCGCTCGATAGTCTTAGTAAAAATCTCTAAGCTTAGTTACCGTTAATTGTCAGTTAATTAGTTAATATTTGATACTTATGCTAATTGTTTACTGTAACCCGATTTAGTTTTGGTTTCAACTTTCCCAATTTCTTGTTGATTGGAAAAATAATTGGCTGCTGGTCTTCTTGCGTTGTCTTCTCTTCGAACCGAGTACAGAAACAGTTAAAAGCAAAGGAAATGATATATTTTTAAAAACCTTATTATACTTGTAGTTATTTTAAAGTTTGTTATTGTATTATTTATTGAATGTTGTTTTTATATAATTATTAATTTACAAGTAAAATGGTATTGTCTCTTATGAAGTTTTATTTAATTTGTTTCGTTTATTGTATTTAAATTTCTTTGTCGTTGAATTATTTTATTATTTGTAAACGTATCTGCATTTTTTAAATTGCTTTTTATGACTTTCTGTTTCTTATGCCGTTCTTGTGTTTAATTAAAAAAATAATTAGTTTATTATATAGTTGTGTTATTATTTTAAGTTTTTGATTTGGAATTTTGGTTTTTTGCTTTAATCGAAGTTTCCTCTTAGTGCTGGTAAAATAAAACTCAACGAGAACTTTTTTTGCGTAGTTTCAGAATATTTTTCAAAGTTTAAATTATATTTTGTTGGCTTTTTATTCGTTATCAAAATTGTAAATTGTGAACCATTCGTTTCGTTTGTTTTCCTTAGCTTTGTACTTTTGATTTCAATTTTGCAATATCCTAATAATTTTTTGTAATTAATCTTTAACACATTGTTGTTGTCGCTTTTCGTGTTTAGGAATTCGAGTTCAAATTGTTGAATTTGGGTTTCTTATGTAAAATTGTTGCGTTTAATTGTTGTTGATGTTGTAAATTAGTACTGTTGTGAAAACTGTTAACTGAAGCTTTAACTGTATCCGTTCTATTGCTTTTCAAAACTGAATTGTGGCTGAGTTGGCATTTGGAGTTCTATTGTTATATTTGCATTTTAAATTAGCAAATGTTTCTATTTTGGTTGATTTTGAAAACGTTGTTTGGTCTATTGTTTTGTTTATTTAAATTATGATGATCTGGAATCAGAATTCGAGAGAAACAG